TAACTAATACTCCACCATCACTGTCCGAGCTGGAGGAGCTCGAGGAGCTGCTTTTCGCAGGTAATGGGAGGGCCACCTCCACAGGCTTCACCTTCTCCTTCCTGGGTTCCTTGCAATCCCTCGCATAGTGCCCAACAACCTTGCACTTGCCACATGCCTTCTCCTTATCGCCAGCCTCGGAAGGGGCTGAGGAGGGTGTAGCTCTGGTGGCATCAGGTGCCATGTGCCTATTAGCCACCGTGGCCCAAGACACTCGTTTAGCAGCAGGAGCAGCCACAGCCAACTCCCCACTCACAGACGGAGTACTTTTTGTACGGGGAGGGGGGGGAGGGGGAGGAGGGGTAGGGGAGGCTGCCACATTTTTGGTCTTATGCTTAACCATCTCTGTAAGGTTCCTATTCTCTTCCTCCAGCTCAAACACCCTGCTCCTCAGGCTCCTGTACAATAACTTGTACTCATTCAACATCTGAAAGATAGTCTTTATATCCTTCGTCACATCACCAAGGTTATCGTATCCTTCCTTACCGCCGAACAGTACTCTTCTAACTTCCTCATCCTGGTAGTCCGATTCCAAACTCGAATCAGAGCTATCGTCCGAGGGACTGGGAGCATCACCGGTGCAAGGGATAGCAGCCGGTGTTCCTATTTCGTCAAGGACCTCAAGGATAAACTCCTGCGACACCACCGATTCTGAACGTCGTGAGGGGGGGGCGTACAATTCCTCATCCAACCTCCTCATATCATCATCAACTGCATCAAGTTGTCTCCTCGCATCTAGCGCCCTCGCGATTCGTGCATCGGCGGACTCAGGTTGGGTAGGAGGTTGTGCCACAATAGGCGAACTGGATCGAACCGGAGAGGAAGGGACCGCCTCAGAGTCCACCCACTTGCTGTCTCCCAATCCCATAGCCTCGGTGTTTCTGTTGCCACCCATGTCCATGGGTGTGTCCCTAGCAATCACCTCCGAAGAGGGAAGCATATCAGCGGTAGCCAAAGGAGGGGAACTTGCCACATCCGTCGACTCAATAGTAGAAGCTGGGTATGGAACCAACTTAAGTCTAGGGGCAGTCTGCTGCCTGATCTCCTCCAAGGTCCGTTGCTCCTTGGGAATCACCATCATCTTCCTCCCTTCCTTGGTCGGCACCCCTTTGGTAGGAGTGAGCACCGAACCTGAACTCCCACTAGACACAGATATCAGTGTAGGGTCAGGCGAGGGGGATCGTCCACGTCGTTTTCGTTCCGCAAATGGGGGCGGCATGGGTTCGTAGTCAGAGTCTGACCTAGCATCAAGGTCAAACTTCCTACCGTATATTTTCTTATGCCCAGAAGACAGCGACATCGTGTCCAACAGGGCGGGGGTGGAGTGACTCCTGTGGGTCAGAGGCGCCAATGTTTCCGGCGCCATTCTTTCCACTGCTGACCGAGACAAGATTTGCCTCGGGGGGGTAGATGCCCAACTGGAGGCCTCTCTAGTCGCAGGAGTGCCGTCCTCAGGAGGGTTGGTAGCTGAAGACTCTGGGATCACCGCTTGTAAATCCCCAGGAGCCAAGTTGCTGTGGGACGGTGTGAATTCCCAACCCCCATCTGGATTGTGTCGGTCGAAAAGTCTGGTAGTCGAAGCGAGGTCAAGGCCACATCCAACCACACAACCCCTGTCCACCATGTAACCTTCCACCAAACACTCCACCTCTTTCATCGTGACAGGCTTGGCATTGCCGACCATGGCCCTCACATCATTATCAAACGCCTCGTTGACGGCGTTGACGCAACCGTATTCGTGATCGAACGAGAGGAATCCGTAGTCACCTCCCGGTGCATGGTAGGACCATGTCTTAATTTCGATGAGGCCGCGGCGGTGTCTCACTGCCTCGTGGGCCAGAACCGCGACATCGTGGATAGCTGAGGACGAGTCCAAGGCAAAGGGTGAAGGCTCAGCGTCCGAAATCATAGACGACGTAACCTCAAACGATAAGGCCGAAACCTGAGGGGAATGGGAGGGAGACGACATGTCTGCCCGCCCGACTGCACCTGGGATTACCGGGCTCAAACCACGGATATCTCGCCCAAAGTGCCTTCGAGGCTAGGTAGCGTACACCAACTCGACCCTAAGCGAGGAGAGGAGGAAAGTTTCCGCTTCAAGTGTGGTGAAACAAAATAAACAAACAAAGTGCAAAATAACTAACCGAGCCGAAAAGCTTCAAAGAGGTAAAGGAATATCCCTGGAACGTAAGAAACGGTGTCCGAATTGTATCTAATTTTATTTATACTCGCCGCGCCAAAACATGGCTTATGGTCGAGCGATCATCCTATCATACACCTACCATAAGGGCAGGCGGGCCTCCGGCGAACCACAAGCGGACCGGAACAGCGCTCGAAAGCAACTGCCTGGGGCCGGGGTCCCCACGATACACCGGCGCGCGTAACAACTATAAACAAGACCAAAGACCTCCAAACCCAAACCAATAACACTTCCGCAAGCGAGCAAACACAAAAGCTAGGTACAAGTCCATCAACAGCCCCGATCACCCCCGCCCCAACCGACAACCCGACACCCAACCCAACAGGAACAGAGCGACCAAGGTCCATGGTCGTGATAAGCGAGGGGAAGGGAGTTACGGCCCGCAACTATCACAAAAATAAAAACAAATCAAAAAATATCAAATCCGGTCTAAATACCGTCTCGCAATCCCATCCTCCACAGCAGAAAATCCCCACGCCACAGAGCCGACCGCCCACCAGGAGGAAACATCGGGTGCAGCACCAACACCAACTCACGTGACCCAGCCAGGTCCCCAGCCACCGAGGAGGAATGCCACACTTGCAATGGGTGTGACCGCCAAGCCCCAGTGTTCAGCCAGGTTCCCAACCGGGCCGGCACACATCAGCCCCCACCAGGGGGACCGAGAGCCAATCAACCCACACCACCCTAAATAATCAGGGGGGGGGGGGAATTCTCAGGGTCAAAGCCATCCCCACCCCTCATAACGGGCAAGGAGGAGACCCAAAAGACACCGTAAATGCAAGCGACTGGACTATTATCGCGAGAAACGGGCAGATGAAGGAGCGAGACGAGGACGACGAGCGACCGTGTATTCGAACCTTATCGATGTAGAACCGAGGAGCCGAAGCCCTCAGCCAACAGTGGAGAAAGGATGTCAGCGAAAGTAAACCTAAGCTATCCAGTCTCAAACCTGTGATCCCGTGGGAAGCCAGGGACGCAACCCCCCTAAGCCGACGAAACGAACGCAAAATCCTGCGGGGAAACAAAGACAGGAAAGCCGAAACTGTTTTACCGAAACGAAGGTCCAACTGTAAAGCGATGATCGAAACCATCAAAGAAGCCAGAGTAATTCCCGTGGGAAGCTCTTAGCCAAAGAAGGCTCCCAGGCCCGTGGGCAAGGAAGAAAGGGTATCCGAAGGAGATTACCAGATTGCATGAAGAAAGTAAAATATAAAGGGGCATATCCCTTTATATAATATTAAGGAAATCCTCCATGATCACTAATACAAAAAGAAAGTCCTTGGCGTCGTGCACAGCCGTGATCCTTCCGTCAGGTTCCACCATCTTCTGTTGCACGGCAACACATCCCAATCACTTATACAAAGGAAATCCTACTATGCAACCAAAAAAACCACAACCAATATATGCAACCAAAACTCCAAGCATATTCCATCTCCGTAGCCAGGTGGCCGTGACACCAAGGGTCTGGCACCCTACTGAGAGCTCCTGCTATCATACCATAGTTATTTATGATAGAGATTAGAATTTTAACCCTAACCCTTCTTTTCCCCCTAGAACCCCGTTACCATGATCGGTCCCGACCCCCATCATCTTTCAACATGGGTGACGGGTCAAGTTGGGTTTTGGGGGTGACCAGCCCGTCACTCACAACACTACACTGACTGATCTGTGCAAATGCCGGTAGCGGTATCTGTGGTGGGTCCGGTTGGCACATAAGTAAAAGCAAAGAAATATACTTCTCCCAGGACCAAACCATGTGAATTGGGAAGGCTAATTCAACAAAACTCACTCAAATATGTTAAAAATTGGCATCTGGATTTCAAGATCTGTTTTTCCTATTTTTTATTGTCAGTTGATGGCGATGGTGCCATCATGGTGGTGCTAACATAAGTTAAGGGCAAGGCTTGGCCATCTGGTTCTTTAGTCCCACCTGGTCGAGATGTAAGACCCCGGAATGGGACCCGGAATTGAGGGCTGCAAGCATCCACCTCCACTGCACTCTCGTGTCCCCACCAGAGTATAGAGTGGCAACCCCTACCAGTGGCAGCATTTCTAATACGGTAACTCCCACCTAGGTCCGGCAGCCCAAACACTCCTGCATTTTGATTTTTGGGCTTCAGTGTCGACCAGACAAGGCACCATTAGGCAGAATAGGGTTTTGCTGCAAAGTCTCTACGAGCATAATTGGGGTCAAACCGAGGCTTTGACCTGGCAACTAGACGCACCCTAAGCCTGGGAAGATGGGAGAGGGAGGAAGAGAGAGGGAAAAAAGGGAAACCCGAATCAGAAGCCCTCTCCCTCTACCCGAGTATGCCTAGTGATCTTTCCGGCAGCGCAATGGAGGGCTCGGTAAACCCCGTGCGGAGTGCCGCGGGGAGGTCAAAAATTCTCCCACCTCTTGGCACCGTCATTCCCTGTCCCTGCCTACTGCCCGCGCTCGCGGAAAAGCAATTGTTCTCCACCCTCTTCTCCTCACATACTTTCTATCGTGTGCCGGATGGGATAATAGCCCCCCTCCCTCCGCCTGATTCCCTTTCATGAGGGCTTCGCTGATTCTGTCCAATTCCTCTCTTTTTGACCCTTTTGCCGTGCTCTTACTGTGCGCTTTACCATCCGTCTTGCTCCTCCATACAGCGACTTCCGTTTTACTGGCGAGCAAACGGCAGACCTAATCACAAATACCAGTAGGGAGTCAGATATTCGGGGCCTCTTCGGCGGTTTGTGCAGTGCTGGACACCTGGCCCTTCCCCCCGGCGATATGCTTCCTTCTATTAGATCTCTACAGTTATGTAGCAATGGTCGAACGGCCCTTCGTTTCCCATCCGGATGTTTATCAAGTTGCTGTGGTGCAATTGCCACCCCAAGGCTGCTTTTCTCTCCTCGGAGATATTCGACTGCTGCAACCGATAAGGTGGCAGCGAAGGAGAAGCTAGAGGAAGGTACGAGCACATCGGCTGGTATGCAACACCCCTTTGCCTAGGGATTTCACTTTTTGCTGACATCTGACATGAGCCCGCTTCAATGAGCTGGGGGTCCAACAACTGTCTGTCCGGTTACACTCCCAGATATTCAAGAGGGGATCCGTGCCTCCAGCGCCGGAGCTGATCGAACTCGCTCGAGATCATTTGAGTCGTCATGACCTTTACGGGAAGACCTCGGACACAACTCCACCGATTGGTTTCGATCTGCCCGAACTACAGGGTGATACTCTGGACGAGCATTTCACTAAACTTGGGATGGAGGTGTCAGAGCCATACCTCTCTATGGCTAGAATTTTCTCTCTCGTGGACATACCCAAGCCACCCGCCAAATGGGAGAGGCTGCCTGGATGGACGAGGTATGAGGCTGGTGCTGGTGGAGCGTTCACCTCTCGGCCCGTTGAAGCGCCGGAGGAGGATACAGTTGTATTCGACGTTGAAGTTCTGTACAAGGTCACGCCGTTTGCAATAATGGCGTGTGCGGCGAGTAAGGACGCTTGGTATGCCTGGCTGTCACCGTGGTTGCTTGGAATGGACTCGGGTCAGTGCCACCTGATACCGTTTGGGGATATAAACGTGCCCCGAGTGATTGTTGGGCATAATGTTGGCTTTGATAGAGCACGGGTTCGCGAAGAATATGATCTAAGACAGTCGAGAAATTGTTTCCTGGATACGATGTCCTTCCATGTCGCGGTGAACGGGATGTGCTCACGCCAGAGACCAGCATGGATGAGACATAAGAAAAACAAAGAACTCAGGGAAAGGCTTGAGAAGGAGGATCATGGGGATGACCTTCGTGCGATGTTGGATGCGGGCCTACATGAAGATGAGGCGGAGGAATTATGGATTAGGCGAAGCTCGATAAATTCACTGCGGGAAGTGGCCAAGTTTCATTGCGATATCGAACTCGATAAGGAAGTGCGAGACCAATTTGGAGGAGAAAGTGTGAGTGATGTACTAGAAAATTTGGATGAGCTTCTGAGCTATTGCGCCCAGGACGTCGTCGCCACACACAGGGTTTATCGGAAGGTGCTGCCAGAGTTTTTGGAGGTTTGCCCACATCCGGTCAATTTCGCAGCTCTGCGGCATCTTTCTTCGGTCATACTCCCAGTCAACAAGTCCTGGGGCAGGTATGTTAAAACCGCCGAGGAGACTTACCAGGAAACCTCGCACCGCGTGAAAAAGAGCCTGGTGGCTCTTGCGGAATCGGCATTGGCGTTCAGAGGCAACCCCGATGTTTATGAGAAAGATGAATGGTTAAGGCAGCTTGATTGGTCAGGGCAGGAGATCAAGTACCTCAAGCTGAAAAAGGGAGAAACAGAACAGAGGCCGGCCAAACAGAAGATGGCCGGAATGCCTAAATGGTATAAAGATCTCTTTACGAAGGAAGGCTCTCCCATTAATCTTTCCGTCCGGTCTCGAATTTCCCCGATCCTGCTCAAATTACAATGGGACAAGCATCCTCTGATATGGACGGAAAAGTTTGGATGGACATTTAGAGTTTCTCATGAAGAGGCGGAGAAGTATAAGAGCTCACCCCTGGTGCAGTGCGATTTGTCTGATGAGAAGAACGAGGTGATCCGCAACGATGTTGATAACGTCTATTACAAACTTCCGCACAGGGATGGCCCGGGATCTCGGTGCGCAACGCCATTGGCTAAGGGTTATCTTCAGTATTTCGAATCGCAGACGTTGTCATCTGAATATCCGCTCGCAAAAGAGGCTTTGGAGATGAATGCTGCATGCTCGTATTGGATCTCAGCGAGGGAAAGAATACGGTCACAAATGGTTGTTTATGGAAGTGATCTCCGCCGAGCGGAAGGGGAGACAGCGGTAGCCGGGAGGAGAATAGAAAAAGGAGAAAAAGGGGCCGTGGGGGGGTTGAAGGGAGCGGGGGAGGAAAAGGGAGCGAAGAAACCGGATGGAAGGGAGGGCGTGGAAGAAGTAGAGGAAGGTCCGGATGAAGTTGGGATTATATTACCCCAGTTGATACCTATGGGCACGATTACAAGGAGGGCTGTGGAAAGAACGTGGTTGACAGCTAGTAACGCAAAAAAAAACCGTCTTGGGTCAGAATTGAAAGCAAAGATCGTTGCGCCGCCGGGATATGTGTTTGTTGGGGCTGATGTTGATTCCCAAGAACTTTGGATTGCCAGTCTTCTTGGCGATGCTCAGTTCAAGATGCATGGAGGAAACGCCCTTGGATTCATGACACTCGAGGGAACCAAAACCAATGAGACAGACCTACATTCTAAGACTGCAAAGATACTGGGTATCTCGCGAAACAACGCGAAGGTTTTCAACTATGGCCGGATATACGGTGCCGGGGTCAGTTTTGCCACGACGCTCATACGGGATTTTAATCCAACGATTACAGATGCCGGGTGTGCCGAAATTGCGTCCGATCTTTATTCAAAGACCAAAGGTCAGCAAACTGTGCGCAAATCACTAAGCGCCCGACGTTTTTGGCGTGGCGGAACTGAGAGCTTTGTCTTTAACACCCTTGAAGAATTTGCCGACCAGGAACGACCGCGGACACCCGTCTTGGGCGCGGGGATAACGGAGGCGTTAATGAGGAAAAACTTGTCTAAAAATGGATTTTTGCCATCAAGGATAAACTGGGCGATTCAGAGTTCTGGGGTGGATTATCTACATTTGTTGGTTGTGGCAATGGACTACTTGATCCGAAAGTTTGGCCTAGAGGCGAGATTAGCAATCACGGTCCACGACGAGATCAGGTACCTGGTTAAAGACGAAGACAAGTACAGAGCTGCTATGGCGCTACAGGTAGCGAATGTGTGGACGAGGGCTATGTTTTCGGAGCAAATAGGGATTAATGACCTCCCTCAGGTGCGACCTTACTCGCTGAGTGTAAGCCTATATTGAACAGCGGGAACTGACATTTTCGTATCTAGTCCTGTGCTTTCTTCTCTGCTGTTGACATCGATCATGTCCTTCGCAAAGAGGTGGATATGGATTGTATAACACCCACCAATCCAGATGGGATCGATCCTGGCAAGTCACTAGATATTTTCCAACTTCTTGAGATGAAACAGCCATTGCTTGACCCGGTGACGGCCAAGACAATAGATTTCGGGGAATTCAAATACCTTCCACGTGTTCCTGTTATGGGAGACCTGATAGCTGAAAGGAGTATACTTTTCATGAAGGCACAAGTCTCTAGTGAGGATAAAGAGCTCGATGATATTGTTGCAATTGTTAGGAAGCCCAAGCCTGGCGCTATACCATTTACAGGGAGGATAATACCTGGGAATGAGCCACCAAAAAGCTTAGGGACTAGCAGCAGAAGAGCAACGGAAGACACCGCGAGAACGCAAAAACTCTTATTTTTCAATAGCGAAGCCCCGTCTGGCGGTGGCTCATCAGTGGCTAAGAGCCCACAGACGGCGACTAAGCACCCAGGAATCACCACGAACTCGGTGGCAGCCAACCCATCGGGAGCATTTCCGTCCGCGACAGGCGGTCGCTCTAAATGGCATCGAGTCGAGAGCCGGCGGGCCTACCGGGCCCCACTATCGGGTGTGGAAGGGTCTGGGGGCGATGAGAGACCACCATCTCGGAAACCGGCTCCTCGTGGCCCGGGACAACTTTTGAAGCTCACACCCGGAATGCTCGGGCCCACGGAGTCTAAGGGCGGGGTTGAGATTGCAGCAGGTGCGAGGTCGGATCGGGCAGTTTCGTAGTCTTGAATAGGGAAGCTAGGGGTACGTTAAGAGCGGCACCTATTGTGGATCCTGTCTGAACCTGGTGGGTGGAGAGTAAAACCTCTAATCGACTGGGCACCTGATAGAACGACTTTGCAGGCCCGAACGGCGTTGTGGGGAGAGGCAGGATACCCGACGTAGTGAGAGGTTGGGTTATTAATTTCGTTCTCCTTCCTTCTTTCTGTTGCCTTGCTTTCACCTTATGTCATGTGGGAGCGATCTATTGTTTTCTCTTATTTCAATTGTTGCTCACGAAGTACTGCGTTAGTGGTAATCGATCGATATAGTGGGACTATTGTACAGTAGGCGGTGCGTATGTAGATACCGTACCGGTATGTGAAGTGGTCTATTTCTTTATTTTTCGAAGAACCGGGTTGGCGAACTAGGTGGAGAGCGGGGCGAGTGGGGTGCGGGTGGGGTGGGTGGATTCGGATGCTTCTGGTGGCCCATTTGTTCTGCGTGGTGGAGGTTTGGCGCAGCTCAGAGGTGGCTAGAATTGAAAGAGACAGCGCCGTCGTACACCGGTGTCATAGCCTAGATACAGTAGATGCTAGCGGTGTGTCCTTCCAAAATCTAGAACAAGTTAAGATAAAATGAATAGAGCCAGGGAACCCCGACCTTAACATGTGTCGAGTTAGGCTTCTTGCCGGAGGCAGGGAATCACATATAATGATCCGCTCTGCTGCTCTCGCTATTGTGCGGCAAAACCTGACTGAATTCTGGTTTTCGTTCGGTGATACCAGTACTGCGGAAACCAACCGCCAATGGAGCTGGGTGTGGTGCTCACACTATCTCACTCGTCTCGGGAGTCGGTGAGCTCGGCGGAAAAGCTATTTTTTTTTGGGTAAGAAAGGCAGAATGGAACAATCTTAGCGGGAGGGTCTATTTAAAGAGGTTTAATAGCCCTAGAACCTTCCTTGGACCCGCTTCTGCGGTATTGGGAAATTTGTGTCATTTTGAACGAGTCACGTGATGGTCAATGAAGTCATGAAGTCATCGGCATTTTCAGAGCCGCACCCTGAAACAAAGTGTGCAAAACGATAAAGGGAGCCCCGCCAAAACAAGAGAGCATACCCACGAACCGGAGAAGGTGGGAAAAAAAAGAGCCATGACTGCGAGAGGTGTTTTCTCAACCTACCTGAGGATATCTTCCGGCCCCGTGAGTGGCAAAGTCCAATTCTTTCCCGCTCCTTCCGGAGATGCTAATGCGCTTCCTAGACCGCTAGTAGAAGAGCCCTCTCCTCCCGGTTTTCCCCCTCGACCCCAGCCTCTAGACTCCATACCTCGCAATGGAAGTTTCAGCAGCCCCCGGCGGCAAACAGGGGTGTTTTCAATGCAGGGCAGATAGACCTTCGAGCCAATGGCGGCCCAGCCTCCCCGGAAGAAACTAAGCCGCGTGGAGGCATCTTCAGAAGGGTGGCAGAGAAGCTGCGTGAGAAGATGCCGAATGCTACGGAGCCGTATGTTGCGCATGGAGTTACACTGGAGTTATATAATGAGTGCCTGAAGCAAGCCGCGTATGCCGAGGGCCACGAGTTGTCGGAGAGTGCGAGGTTCTGGTATGATGGTTTGTTATCGCACGCTCTGTGTTGGGACTGGGTAGATGGAGAGCTGATAATGACGATAGTTTGCGATAGGCCTAAAACGTTCATGTCTTGGGCGCAGGTTACAGTGCTGCATATGTGGATGTTCGTTGTCAGGATTCGGGCATTCGAGCTGGATAGGGTTAAGACCTGGCAGCAGCATTTTGTCGACCACTTCTTTTATGATGCTGAGGGGAAGATGATACACACGTATAACGTTTGTTTACAGTCCGTGCCCTAGCGAGAGGAGATTTGCTGATGGGGCTGGCGGGCTAGATTTCTAGTGGTGGACAAAGAAAGACATATCTTAAGGATTTGTACTCCCAGTATAGGGGCATGATCGCTGGTTACGACGAAGGTCTTTGCAAAGGGGATGCCGTTCTTGCTGCGGCTATTTGGAGGTAATATAACTCATCTCACCTGAACGTCTCGGCGAAGGCTATTATTTCAATAGAAACGTCTTCGATGCAAGACCAGACATTGACCTGGAGGTCCTGGCCATGATCACTAGCTACGTCCGTCGTGTGATCCACGGCCTTGACAAGATTGACAACCAAGTTCTCTATTCTGCGCGTGTTACTTTCGGACTCCCGAATGAGGAGGCGGCGACAGTCAGGGTGGAGAGTAAGTTCATCGGGGCAATTATGGGGGCTCCTGTCGTTAGTGATGGGGCTGCCTGAAGTTAGGCTGTAGCAGTTGTGTAAATAATTTGTCTCGCTGGATAACCCTGTGAATGGGGTATGAAATTTTTGGGTTGAACGTTGCCCTCGCGCGTGGATGTGGAACCGTGTGAAGTTGGGTTTGGGAAGCCTAAGGCATGCCACGGTTGGTGCTGACACGCGTCAGAGTGACGGTGGGCGCACCGGTACCTCCGGGGTAAGAGCGTGGAAGGACGTTAATGCCCCTCTTGTTATATCAGCTAAACTCACTACGTCTACCGAAGTCGGTGAGCCCTTTTTCTGGTCTATTACCACACATTCCGAACTGCCCAGCACACCGCCGTTTGGTGCCGAAACCCCTTATCATCTAGTATCACTCGCGTGTGATGGGTGACATTGGCCATTACAAAACGCCTGGACACTCGCGTAGGCATTTGCTGCGGGAGGGGAGCGACGAATGTGATTATTAGGCTTTCGGAGCGCTCAAGTGTGCTTGGGCTGGCGCATAAGTTCTGCAGAGACTAGACCTTACAATATATCATACCATGTCACTACATCTCACAAGATTTCCTCATTCTCGTGCCCATATCCCTCTTCCCACCGAAAAGTCTTACTAAACACCGAGCCTCGATACGAGTGCTAACCCCTTCCTGAGTCAGGAGAGTTACATACAAGCTTATGGACGGCACGTCGCCTGTAGCTTCACCAATATTCCTCACCATTCTCTGGCTGTCAGGTTTGGAACCTGCTCTTACTGCTTGGGGCGAGGCAGTTGGGCCGGTGACTGCGGTACCATTGACCGAAGGGGTTGAGGATGCGAGAGCACGTGGAGGTCTAAGCCCTTCTGCCGGTGCCGAGAGTTTCGCAAAACTTTCCAGTGTCTCTAAACAGTATCTTGACGGGGGCGCTCCCTCTTTCACCCCCACTGGGACCGCTTCTAGGCCCGGGACTGGAACTGCTGCCCGCAGTACAACTGGAATATCATACCTCTGCCTTCCGCTAGGGCTTCGGGACAAGTGCCCTTCCAACTGCCCCGGGGGCGGGTTAGCGGGGTTTGGGGGTTCCCCCGGCGCCATTTTATTCATCGGCCCAGCACTCTGGGACTACGACCAACCATTTTTATCCCTCCCTTCCTGCTCCCCGTGTAGATATTAGGGGCACTAGTGCGTGAACCTAAATCAAACCTCTGCGGTGGACTGCTCCTTCCACAATTAATGCGTCCTGTTCTATCTGGCCTTTTGCGGGTTTAGTGGACATCCCGTTCTTGATTGTGTCTTTCGTGGATGTTAGGTTTGGGGCTCCGGGTTCAACGATTTTTCAGTTCTCTTGCAAGCTTGCTGGGATTGGTACGGCCCTCTCTAATATCAATATTCTGGGGACCTCTATTGATTGTGCGGGTCGTAGGTGGGGAAAAGGCAAGACTTTGGATAAGACTAAGAGTGGAGGGGTACATACACTTCGTGGTTTGGGATTGCCGGTGATTGTGGGTGGAGTAATCGTCAGAGGTCTCGCCCTTGTAGCGGGGACAATTGTCGCCCCTTTTATTGCAACACCAACACACACTTCCCGCCTTGGTTCCTGGATCAGCATTATGGAGCGATCACGGATACAAAACCACGGTCGCTCTGCAGGCCTTAGACGGCGGAACTGGCAACTTGGCGAATTAGGATAGAACCCGACCATACAGCACTGCGACCATTTATTCGGGCCCGACGACGCCTTTTACCATGGACCTCGTACCACGCCATGGCTCTCGCTATATGACTCCTAGCAGGTGCCTTCTATTCCTTAATTGGACAGTTATTCACGAGAACGATATAATAGCCTTAAGGATCAGCAATGTCTCTGCGGGCTATGATCTTGGGAAACGCACATGCGAGTCTCCAGGCGACCCAGAGCTAGTCAACCAAAGCGCTATGCGCGATGGCTCATATGGTGCAGAAAGCCCTTCATTTCCCCAACCCCCTCGTCCGATTCCAGCATGGCAAGAGATGGCTAGATATCTCGTACCCCGCCAGTAACTCGGCCACGTGTGCAACCTGTGCGAGATCTCTCGGTTAGAGCCAATATTCTATTGAGAGCAGAGTAGAATTTCCTCCGCGCTATCAATTTCACAGTGGTGAAAATGTGCGCGGGAAACTCTATAGCCTTTATGCTCACCTGAATTTGAGTCAACGCTGGTTCCTGTAAAGGGGGGGGGGGTTGATTGAGGTAGCGCGCTTTGCAGAGCATTTTTACAAGTATAACCAACTTAAGTGGAATGGAGGTTTGGGCTAGGGATTAGTTGGGCTACAGTATTAGAAGGATCCGGTATGGGGGATTCGTTCTTTGTCTATTAGGTCGAAACAGATTGATGACACAAATGGCGTCTCCTTCAAATCCGTGCTATGATATAAGTTTGGGGTTTTTTAGTATAGTCACTGCACCGGAGTACCGTATGAACTTGAATAAGAGCAACACCGCTCGGGACGTCTAGGTTTCCCCTCTTGGTAACGCGTGGTTTTATTTTGCTGGTATTTTCTCCCGTCCCTACCAAAATAGGCAAGTCAGACGTCCCGAGATGTGTTGCTCTTATTCAAGTTAATACGGTATCTTTGTCAGGAGCGGATGACTAGTCTTTCTAGGGCCTGTGATCACAGACTATCACTCGGGAGAGAACTTTCCTTGCAAATCTTCAAAACTCCCCGAAATTATGCAAAGATAGATCCAGCCTGGGTTAGATCCCGGAGGCGGTGCCTCAAAAAGCATGAGATTAAAATATCAGGCCACAAGCTATAGAAAGTGTCGGCACCGCGGAAATGAGTTCCGCAGGGACATCCGTAACCTTCTGAGCCCCGATTATCGTTTTCGTGTTATCGGCTGGGGAGGGGTGGAGGCTTGCGAGTTTGTGGGATAGAGCGATCTGGCTCCCCGGCGCTGAGATACCGGCAGGTATTGATTAATCCTTGGGTGTCCAGATGCTTTACGGAAAGGGGGTGGGGGTGCACCTTACAGTATCGTACTACTTGGGAAGGAAAGTGCTCGCCGGAAACCACACGATGCTGATTTCATTTGTTTATTTTTTAGCGTCGGATGTTTTTTCTCGACACCCCCGGTTTCTACGGTGTTGGAACTGGCATCTGACGTCGGGTGTTTGGCTTAATTCGCTGCTTGTTTTTTTTTATACCTCCATGCCGTTGGGCATACTGCGTCGAGCTCAGGGTTGATCTTCGCCGTGGCTGTCGAGCGTGTCTTACGACTGGCCATAGATTGTTAGTCCGCCCCTCGCCCCCCCCCCCACCAGAGATCCCGATGAGTCCCTAGCTTTATTCCCAACAATTCTTATAGTTCTGTCTAGCTTTTTAGAGTTGTTGGTTTCTTAGGAGATATATATATCTCCTATCTATCCTTAGATAGCGCCTCTATCGAACATCTTATTCACAATTACACCCTTATTTATTTGTCCTGGACCCACGGTGCCCCCTTGCTCTCCGCTTCATTTTTTAAGTTGGTCTCCTTCTATTTGCTTCATACCCATTTGACTTGGGCGGTAGACACAAAGGCGCTGCCGTCACCGATCGTCCGATATCACCCACGGAATCCGCCACTCCTCACTTGCATCGCCAGAGTTTGCGTGTGTGGGGAGTGAATGCTTACGGTGCAAATGCCCGGTGCCCCTCCTGATGGTTAGAGTGAGGCCAAATGAACGTCGAGGGAGTGGTCGTTTTTTTACCCCTAATTGCTAAGTTGCAGCAGCTGCACCAGAGCGTCCGTGAAAGCGATTGGTCAAAGTCCAATAATATGGTTTGCCCCCTTTTTAATTGGCTCACAATTCACCATGAGATCGGCGGAATGTAATAGTGGAATATGGAGGGAATAAGAAGAAGAAAAAAAGTAAAACACGCCTGCACACACTCAGTGGTTTAGTCAACATAATTGGAGAACAAAAGCCAGCCCGCAATTTTCGGATTTTGTGGGATATAGTTACCATGATAGTAGCTTGTTGTAGGGTGCACTAGGATAAGTTGAGGTATATGAACAGCATCTCCATTATTCGGATTGGCCCGAAAGACACATTAGAGTAAGGAAGCTCGAGTATAATTAGATATAATATGTGGACGAAATATACTTATACACCTGGGTTGAAATTGGACAGCCTGTATAGGGGTTGTCACCTTAGCTATTTAACTTTAATCTAATCGCATTATCATAGTATTATATAGATATTGGGATAAATACCTAGGAAAAGCCAAAAATCAAAACTGTCCCCCCCCCTCCCCTACCGCTCAGGACCCAAGCTTTAAGCCAGGAGGACGGAATCCACTGGCATAAAATAATTTATTCTATCGTTGGATTATGATAGTTACTCTACTTCTAACTAAGATATCATATACGATAGTATTAAAATTATGGTAAAACTTACCTGTTTAATTACAGGATGGATTTCATAAGTGCCTATACTACCGGATTAAACTCAGAGTTAATTCTGTTGTTAGCTTTTAATATATATATTTTCTGCTAGGAGTTTGGCTACTGTATTTTGCACACCGGCAATATCTAAATTGTGCTTGATAGTTACTATAAAAACTGGAATAATTGGCCCTTATGCTAGTCATCTAAAATTTCCTCCTCTAAACCAGGGGTGAAAAATAGAAGGAAGAGAATAAAAAGGACTAACCTTACCACGAGAGGCAACTTCAATTTCTGGCATTAGAGCCAATTATTCTAGTTCCTACAGTATTCGCTATTGAGCTATCTGCATACTATAAAAGTAAAGAACTTGAATGGATTCATCCTATAAAGTTCTGTATTCTTCAAAGCTGTTTCAACTAAGTAATACTTTTCAGCCTCTATAAGAGCTTGCCAGCGATCCAATCCACTTACTTGTGCTGGTAAAGGAGCTATATTTTCAGCCATACCAAGATTTAAAATACTATTCTGAAGTGCCTGCTGTTTTGCTGTCCTAGTTATATTTAAACAAGTGCTCTTTAAAATACCAGTTTTTTCTGACATTTTTGTTGTTGCTATTTTCCGAGTCTTATCTAGCGTGATATAGCCCAGGACTTGATCTCTCTTGCTTAAAGAAGCGGTACAGCTCTATGGAGTTGGCACTTTTGCCGCATATCGGATGGATGACAGCATAGGTTGCATGCCAATACCATCGTGGTCACAAACTTCTCATGCGTCTATTTACTGCCTAATACACTGCATGTCTGTTTCCTATTGGCCACTTCCTGCAACGCACCCTCATGCGCTCTAATACTCGAACACTCTACCGGTAATGCAAGCCCAGTCGTGTTCACAACAGTTGCCCTGCAAGTAAGCACCCACCACTCCTCTTAAGCCTCACACACGCACATACATACACAAAAACCCCCGCATCGAACCCGAGAACGAGAACGACAAAAGTCTAACTTATGTTCCTTTGTCCGTGATACGACATGAACCCAAGTCCTGTCTCGGGGTCAGCATACTCCCGTCTCCCATGTCGCCATCCCCGTTTTTGTGCCACCATCCTCGCGACTCGAGAACCCCGCAACCCTGCACCATACGTGGGAGATTATATTATATTACACTTGTGCGAGCGCAGCGTACGGTACATACCCTGTCTTTCCCTTCGCTTCTCTGTATGATATGATATGATATGATACGATCACTTCTACAGTAACCCTCTTCCGAACCCGCGAAATCAGTAAGGCCATAGCATTCGGGTCGTGACACCACCTGCCCACCCAGCTCCCAGAGCTCAATATTTGCGCGAACGGTCCTTCCCGGGTAGAGCCGTCCACTAACTAAAAAAAAAAAAAAAAATAAACGAACAAATAATAAAAATTGCCTCGTCTTACCAACCAGTTTTCAGATGAGTCAAACGGCAAAGTGCCCGCATTTCCCAATCTCACATCACGCCCATTGGCGGTGGTGGGGGGGAAGGCGCAGAGGTACAAAATTTTGTCTAGAGGAGCTTACAAAATTTCGAGCCCTACCCATCATACCTACCTACCGTACCTACTCTCGAGAAATATATTGCGCGCAGCAAGACAATCACACCGCGCATAAGGCAAGAAGAACAGCACTATCATAACACTGCACCGCTACGCTACGCTCACGAGTACGCCCGCCCCCAAGCAAGTAAGCAAGCCGATCCCCCCTTAGGGGATCTCAGGAATCCCGTCGCCTTGTCACCCAGCATGCCAACTGCTTGGTGATCCATGTTGGTAATATGCCGTCATGAGTAATCACTCGGTGACAACTGACCAATTAGGGTTTTGCAACCGTAAGTTTTACGATAAGGTATCCTATAATTCGATATGATACGTAACGTACGGTAACTTACGGTAAAACTTACCAGGTACCGTATCATACCATGAGTCGATCGTACTTGTAATCGAAAAAGCTTTAAATGTTGGCACTTCTGCCAAGGATCCCTGACGTGAACAAAAAAAAAAGATTTAAAAAAAAGATTACTTGGCATCTGTAGTAAATGCCGTTTTCCGGTATTTTCTCTTTCTTTCTTTCCAGGTATACTTTATCGCAATTCACCGTACCGTATTATTCGAACACTGGCGACCAATCGCAGTCGGGATATCCCTTGGGGCGTCTGAAACAGCACGATTCGCGACCAGGTGTGCTTGGTCCGGACCAGCCAACAACTAGCTATTCCAACTTACAAGTACGAATTTCGGATCTTTCAATGTCCAAGTGGTCCATTGTCTTGGCAACCATTAATTGCCAACGAACCGCAGTATTCGGATGCCCGAAAAAGGGGGGGGGGGGATTGGCGTTCCCGGTCGCGAAATCTACAACCCCCCCGCCCAAGTGGTACGCTGCCTGTGGTCCCTATGGTGGAAGGGCTTGAAAAAAATTTCCGGATGGAAAACTGAGGGGAAGAAAGAGGGGTCCTGTGGATATGAGACACATGGCACTTGTGCAGCTGCCCGATAGATGTCTTCGACAAACGGGCCTTCTCTTCGACTGGTGTTGCAGCAGCACGGGGCAGGGGTGGGGGCGGAGGTACAGCCTATTTGGGGACCTCAGATACGCAGTATTGGTAGACAGTAGCACCTACCGTGGGCACGAGGTACCGTGCGCGGGCGGGCGTCGTAGGCTAGGAATAGAAGGAATATATTCTATGACCAGAGACAGTTTTCAATTGCGCAAGTAATGCAGTAGAGTACTAGTACTGTACCGCGCTTTTCCTTCACAGACCCACCAACCCGCATGTACTGTACCGGTATATGGCTCGGCGATAACGGTAGAGTGTGTTACAGAATAGCCTATCTCAAATACAAGCTCTCCGACACGCTATTATCATGGCATTTCTCGTAATAGATGCATTTCCCAAAAAACAACCTATATTATATTGACGCTCCAGCCAAGCGTTCCGCCGAAATTCAAATTCCCGAGTCACCGCATCCAACCACCCATCACACAAATGAAAATGCATATGGGCGTAACCGTATAAGAGTTGAAAGTTGTAATCACACGACATCGTACGGAGATCAGAGAGCCAACGAACCAGAAGAAAAGAAGACCCAAGCGCGTTAGAGAACGAGAAAGAAGGAAAATAAATGAAAAAAAGGTCAACCATCCTTTGAACGCCGTCATTGCCAACACAATCATTGCCACATCCCTTGTCTAAAATATCCCACCCCATCTACCTGTCCTGACGCTCCCTTCGCCTACCACTGGTGCCTTCTTGCTCTTCTCCAAGGCCATCAAGCTTTCCATCTTTTCAAGGGCCAACTCGAGAAGTTCCTTTCGTTGCTGAAGCTCGATGTGTTTTCGGATTTTGGGGTCCTCTTTGGCAAACGATTCGACTTGTTGCTGCGAGAGATGACGGCCCAGGCGGTTATCGAGCTCTCTCGGAAACTAACGGTATCAATCAGAAAAAGACCAAGTAGTATATCCGGAGATTTCATCATACGTTATAATAAAACTCTGAGAGCAGCTCTACATTTAAAAACAGAACAGCGGTAGACGTAAGTTTCTCCGCGACAACATCCAAGAAAATTTCAGGGCAATGATATTTGTTCGCTGAGGTTGCGCATTGCTTGCTCTTGAGAGCATACAAGCGCATTTTAAGTATCTCGGCTCTGTCCCTCAAGAAGACGCCTTCCCTTCCTAACCACAAATTAATCGCTAAACACGATTGCTGACGTCATGGTGCATACCTTTTTGTAACAGGGGCTGACTGAAACCGAATGCCTCTGTCCCCTCTTTCATATCCGCATGTTCTCCTTGCCGGAGCTTATCGACAAATGACATAACTTGAACAAGTTTCTTGGTCCCAATATTGCTCTTCAAATTTTTTAAAGCCTCTTCACAAGCCTTAAGCTCCTCCTTCAATGAATTCTGCGAATTTTCCCGGCTTTGAGCCCACTCGCGGTCGTCCACCTCAATCTCGAACTTGTAAGGTTTGATGCAGTTCTCGACCTGGTCACTTGTCGAGTAGAACCTCTCGTTCAAAATTGCGTTTGTGGCCTCCTGGATAGCCTGCTTGGCAAAGGGATGTGCGCGAAAGGTTGATTCAGAGATGAGGCGATCCATGTGTTGCTGAAGAGCGTTGGCTACGACATTAGTTGCAAGCCTTCCAACACCCAATTTTGTCAAAGCAGATGTAGAAGCGTCCAGTCTTCTATGCCAATAAAGATTTTCAGGATCGGCATTGGGCAGTTCAGATATAGGCCGTTCGTCCTGTCTGTCCCAAGGCTTATCCTCGCTGAGGGGCTTATTCCAGTACCTCGAAGCTAAGAAATCAAGCACCTTCTGATCTAGTTCGTGTTTCAGGAGCTGCCGAACCTGCGGTCGTCCGAAGTGCTCTGTAAAGTCTTTAAAAGAGTGCTTGAATTTATCCAAGGACTCGGCCAAGTATGTTTCTGCGGTTAAAGGACGGTCATTGTATTGAACCTTGAACTCATAGGTAGCTTCCTCTAGTTCCTGGTGAATAGCATCGCTAGTGGCCTGAAGACTCTGGGCCATTGTTTGTTCCAGCACAAACATAAGCTTTTTCCTCAAATTTGTTGTGCCAACGGTAACGCCGCTATCCGGCGCTGCAAACTCCGGATGCGCTCCAAAGAAGGTGTTCTCATTCTTGCTTATAGCATTTGTGATGTTGACGTTCCTACCAAAGGAGAACTTGGCGCTTGGTGCCCGGCAAACAACGCCTACATAACCCAGCCTCAAAGGGTAGTTCCTATCTTTCAGAATTGCATTTCCTCGTCCAGGGTCGACGAGGTCCATCTTTGTGATAACCCCAATTGTTCTTTCTCCTCTCGGATCGACTCGCCTACTTGCCCTCAGTGCTGTAGAGTTTGCCAAGTCAACATCCGCAGCTGAGATGGCAAGGATCACATTCGGGGGTTGGATATATTTGTCACATAAAGCCGCGATCTTTGCCTTCAGCTCCTCGGGTTGGTCCAAGGCGCTTATCTGGATGTAACCTGGTAGATCAATGAGCGAGAGATCGGGAACAGTTGGTGAATAGATATTCAGTTGAATGGGATCATCGGAGACACAGTCAGCTTCTGGAACGGCCAAGTTAAGATCTGTCAGGGTTTTTTGGATTTGTGCAAAATCAGTGATGCGGCCGAGACCCAGAGCCGGAAACTCCCCATATTCAGACGGCGAATCAGGTGTATTGATTAAAGTGAGCTCAATGGGTCGACGGGTCACCATATTGGATCCCTTAGGAAGAAACTCGTGACCAACAATCGCTTCCAAGACAGAGCTTTTACCAGAACTCTGGGAGCCGATAACCACGATGGAAGGCAGCTGGAGAGCTGCCGTCTGGCCCACCTTTTGTAAGATGCTCCTTATCTCAATCATCTTCTTTGTCAATACCATCATCTGATCGTCCTTAGCGCTTTGTTGCTCGGATCTCGCATCACCATCACCATAACCAAACGCGACTGCCGTAGCAGCAGCAGCACCCGCTGCATAGGTCCGATTATCTCCTTCATCTTCGGGCCCTTTCTTCCCCCCCCCACCCCCACCAGCACCCCCACCAGCACCCTCATCACCCTCACCTCCGGATCCCCCGAAGGTCAGGAGATCTTGCATCCATTCTGGAACCTCAAGGCCATTGATTCCTTCACTGACACCTCCGTAGAGATCCCCAGCGGTCTTTTTTGCCCCAGCAACCGCAGATCCTACCACTTCACCCGCCGAGTTGAAAACGCCGATAGCGTAAGTTCCGGCCTCTAAGGTAGGAAATTAGCTTGTTTCACCCAATCCCAAGATTTGAAACCCCCACGTTGTGCTTGATACTGAACGTAGGCGAGACCAGCAACCATAGCCCCGCCAAAAGCGGCGGGGACCCTTGCAAACTTCAAAACCAGTTTTGGAATCGCGCGGGAGAAACTTAGCGACCTAACTGCAGCAGCACCAGAATGTGACCTGGATAATTGCCCAGCCCGTAAGAATGCGCGTGAGCGTAATGCATAGCTGACCCGAAGAAGGCCAGCCGATGTTGAAGAAGCTCTACCGGTAGATACAGATGATATGGGAGATGATAATAGACGACGACCGGTGGTAGCATGTAGCTGAGGACGGCGAGAGAAAGCTGCCGAAACGGCTGCGGAGGAAAGCAAACGGGCACTCATCGTATGATGATGATCATGGATGAATGAGCGAAGGAAGTTTTCGAAGGGGGGTTAATGGAGAGAAGAACCGATAAAGCGGAGGTGTGTTGTTGGTTTTTTTTCTTCAGTTTTTTCCAAGTTGAGGGGCTTTGACCAACAAATCCTTTTGGCCGAGGCACTACTCTGGGGTGACGAAACATTCCGTTGGCAAAGGAAAAACGATGTGACCCTTGTCCAAGTGGGGACAGATTAGCCGACCCAAACCCTTTCTGACTAAGCGCAGGATCATTGTTCCTCCGATACCAAACCCCCGCCCGACCCGCGATCCGGAAAACCTACTCGTACGGTACGGTATCATACTATGATAGTATCATAACGACCTCGCTCTGGGCACTCTGCCATTCATAGGATGGGATTCCCTCCAGCCACTCGACAAGAATTCAACACACCTTTTTCCTTCACCAAAAATTAGCGCTGGCTGGCCGTACGGTACAGCTGCAGAAAAAAAGAAAGAAAAAACACCATTACACACATAGTAATTTCAATGGATCAGCCAAAGTTCGACAGGCTTACGCTCGCACCCTAAGTTCGAGCACAGTATCGGTACGGTACTGCTTCAATATACGGAGGGACGGCGCCTAAGCTTCGTATATTTTGCTAGCAGGGGTAAGGACAGCAAATCGGGTTACTTTTCAGCCAAGACTGCCCAATCCGTAGCGAAATTTTAACAATTCGGGGCCCTTACCCCTACGAGCCGATCCCGCCTTGCCAGTAAAATACACAAAACCTAGTATCATATGATAGCCGTACCAGTACCGGTGCTCTGGGTGTATGGTGCTTTGCACTTAAAACTTACACCTAGCTCCATACAACATGCAGCCCTTGACCCTCTGGGGGAAAAAAATCTCAATAACTGAAGAAAACTCAATTCTCAGGGCTTCATATCGAATCCAGAGCGAGCTCTAATGGTCGGTATAACATTTTTTTCAATACACAACAACCTTAAGTTTGAAATCCCAATTCTCCCACCTTTAAAATAATTCTGTTACCTTTCAACACTCAACCCTACAAGGGCTGTTATGCGGTTGGTGAAGGGGTGGATGAGAACTATATCAGCACTGGCATAAATTGAGTCAAGGGTCTGAATGTGATGGTTCTTAGTATATAGGGTTCTTCCCGGTGAGGGTTGAGCGTTACGTGTTGCATGCAGCCAGGTGTGCATTTTAAGTGCAAGGCACTATACTCGGATAGTAAGGGCATATGGCGTCCAGTAACACAAGTCCTCTACCAACGTTGATGCTCCAGCTCTCACCACGTCTCCTTCCGGAAGTGAGCCCGACTTTGCGCCGTCACCAAAAATATCTCACAGGCTATCACTCGAATTTCCAAATCCAGATTATTCCACATATGAATCCAACCCCTTGTATCATACGAGTACTCATAATGGTGGTGGACACGGCAAGTATCTTGTCTTTGCACAGATTACCGTAACCCATATTGTATTGTATATTGCTGTTCATAAGTGTGATAAATGTCCACAAGCAGGTAATTTGCCATAATATCAGGCTCAGTAAAAAGATTCTCGAGCAGCACCTGATCATTCAAGACACAAAGAGCGATTCCCAGCCCAACGCAAGTTAGCACTCGGCGGCGCAGCTAAGCTAGGAAAGGAGCAATACAAAAGAGAGCTTAAAGAAAAGGTATCATAGAAAGCTCTAGGCATTTCATATTCCTCCGCACATGCATAAGCAGCGTAACTGGTCACTACCTCCGGTTACACCCTTCCGACACAGGGACTGCAAAATGGCATCCAGCCCCGCCGCACCAATACCCCCACCAAAAACTGCCGCCTTGCGGGTCCGGCGGACCCGGACAGACCACTTATAAAATCGTGGCCCTTTTCCACCATACCCTGTCTTCTTGGCGCTCTCCTCATAGTATTCCGGGAGCCCCGAGACCATTGAAAACTCTGTATCATAAGAGCCACTCCCTCCTACCCTCTTCCCCTGCACCACTCAAAACCCTGCCATTAAAAGAAGAGAAATCATTCTTAACCTTCCGCCCTTCCCCCACCTCTCCAGCTCGAGTCTCCTCACCATACCTCTCATTTCCGAACCAACAAACAATTCACATCAAAAACCATGGCCACCATTATGCAGCTCATCGATAACACTAAAGACGAGAAGCTTTACGCCTACTCCCTCTTCGGTTCAACTCTTGCACTACTTTTCTCAGGGCTCTTCCTTCTCTGGAGAAAGGATTGGTCGATCCATAGGGCTACAGGGCTTCCAATTGTTGGAATTGAATCCCCAGGTTACCTTGGGCTAGTCAAAGCAAGATCCAACTTTGGCGCTAATGGATTCCGTATCGTGAGGAACGCTTATAAAAAGGTCAGTCTACATACTGTGTGCTCGATGCTACATTAGCCACCATCTATCTTAAAATAAGCCAGGCGGCATGACGAACCAGGTTATTAACGATGCATGACCTCACCAGTACCCTCGAAAGAACTTTGTCGTTACCACCTACGGCTACGACAAGATTATCCTTACACATGAGCAAGTTAAGGAGCTCGCTAGTGCACCAGACGATACTATTAACGCTACCCACGCCATCGTCGAGGTAGACGCCCCATAACTCCAAATATCAGGGATGAGTTTCCTTGTGCTGATCATGCTCATTGATAAAGACTTTGTTGGGAGATTATACTGGCCTGGGTCGATTCGTAGACGCAAGGTACATCGAAGATGTGGTGAGAATCAAACTCACCCAAAACCTAGGTAAGCGACTCTCCAAACAAACTCACTTTCAGTGAGAAACAGTATCCGGGCAGCTTTACAAAAAGGCCAAAAATTTTGCATTTCTTACTACCAGTTATTGGATCCAAGATCAAAAAGAAGAAAACCCTCGTCCCTGGACACTTATTCCCCTCCACTTCCAAGCAATTCTACCAGCTTTCAGACTCAGCGTTACTAACGAAAACTCAACCAACAGGGAATCTGAAAGAGGCATTGCTGGAAGAGGCACGGTTCGCTCTGAATACTGAGTTCCCAGAATGTACCACCGAGGGTTAGTATTCCCGCCGAACCCATTCCGTTTTCCCCGCAGTAGATGCTGACAAGGCTCTTCAAAATAGAGTGGACATCCGTGGGCATTTTCATCCCAATCCTAAGAATGGTCGCTCGTGTGAGTGGCAGGGCCTTCGTTGGGCTTCCTTTGTGTCGAAATGAGGATTGGTTGAAAATCACAATCCAATTCACTGGAGATGTCTTCACGACTTTCTCAAAGCTCAGCACTGTGTCAAAACTGCTTCGTCCACTCTACGCCTATATGTGGAATTCAGTAAAAAATCTCACTGCCTCCAGAAAAAAGGGGGAGGCCCTCCTCACTCCTATTTTGCGGGAACGTCTTGAAGAAAAAAGACTTGCAGAAAAGAATGGGGCCGTTTTTCAGAGGCACAACGACATGATTGAATGGCTCAGCGACCGCGTTCAACCAAAGGACAGGAACCCCGAAATCTTGTCCGAACTGTTGCTGCTTGTTGGTCTGGCAGCGATCCATTCCACATCTCTGGCCTTTCTCAATGCACTTCTCGACCTCGCCCAGCATCGGGAGTGCATCCAACCAATTCGTGAAGAGATCGAAACCGTACTTTCCGAAAATAACGGAGTTTTTGATAGGGAGGCACTGCGCAAGATGAGAAAGACTGATAGCTTTTTCAAGGAATCCATGAGAGGGAAGGTTGGCCTTTGTAAGTACATTACTGCCTTTTCCCCCAAGCCATGCTCCTAATTTTTCACGAAGTCAGTTTCAATCGTAAGGTTATGAAAAACTATACCCTTTCCGATGGCACATACTTGCCTAAGGGTACTCTGGTAACTGCGCCCTACTCAATGTTTTCTGTGGATCCAGACTTTATCGAAGATCCCGAAGTATTTGATGGGTTCCGTTGGTATAAAAAGTCTCTTGGAACCGAGGGCGGTGGGGGTCCGGGCCGCATTCAATACTGGGCCACCACCTCCCCAAAAGACCTCAACTGGGGTCACGGGAAGCACGCATGCCCTGGTCGCTTCTTTGCTACCGAGGAGATGAAGATCCTGCTCGCCTTCATCATCTTACAGTATGATATCAAGTACCCTGAGGGACAATCCCGCCCTGAGACCATTCGCAATGGCGAGTTTACTACTCCGGATATTAATCAGAAACTTCTTTTTAAGAAGCTTCCGGGGCCAAAGAAATTTTCCTTTTTGTAGTAACTGGGTTTTCTAGAATCCCTACATTTCATGTTCAAACATACGATCTTGCTATTGGCCTGCACTTTTTTTTCCCATTGATCTTTCTTTCTTTTTCTGGCATCTACTTGTATAGTAACTTACAAAATGAAACCAACCTCCGGCGCACAAAATCAACCCCCCCCCCCCTAAAGTGAGAACCAGCATTGGAAAATCATAGGTAAAAAAATAATAAAAAAATATTCTCGCTCATTTGGCGCTTGCTGCCCATTGTAGGGCGGCCTAGGGAATCCTAAGCCTCGGTACCCTTGGGGGATGTCAATTCGGATACGAGTAGAACAATATGTGACGGCAGTTCCCTTCCGCACAAAGCATTTAGGCGCAGGCAGGATCTACACATGCTGTAATGTGATTCCGGCGCTCGCCTAAAACGAGATATCTCGCTCACGCCTGCCGAACCCCGGTAGGGCGGAAGGGCTAACTTCCGAACACAAGTGGCCTTGGTCAAACTATGATGGCAAATATGAACCTCCTAACAAATAAGGAATATCAAAGCGTTTACCGAATCTCCTTACTATATGGTACAGTACAATTGATAGGCTTATAGATGCATGTCCGGGATTACCAGTACTTATTAGGAATATTCACCAACCAATCCCGGTATAAGGGCGAGTACTTGTACTTGTACTCGTACAGCACACTCTCATCAGCAAAGTTCCCGTAACACCTCAGGTATAGCACCCCATAAAGTCGGGCCCAAAACAGCAAGGCGCGGATAACTCTCCCCCGAGAGATATCTCTCAATCCGTCAATAGCAATTTCCATAAAGGATGTTCCTATTATTACTTTTTGCCAGGGAATAACCCCCGCAATATTCTAGTGGAAGGTTGGGGAGACTTGGCGGTACTGTACTCGTTCAGACGTTGCGAGAATTTTGCGAATGCGAGTTGTACTATACGAGTACTCTAGTACTGTACCGTACTATGGTAGGGTTGCTATGCCAGAGAATATGATTAAGTTACTCTGATGTATTTGAGCCCGCCAAGACAAATCTCGAGCAAATCACATCATATTCCGCCATTCAAGGTCCATCCACCCCATTGTGAGAACTGGAACAATGAAAACATCACTCCAAGACGTCCAGAATTCCTCTTTTCGGACAAGGGGGGAATCTCCCGAAAAGAAAGAAGAAGAAAAACCCCCCGGCTTTAAGTCCTCCACTGAGACAAATAAAAGGAGAATATGAGATATGCTCTGCTAGTATTATCAGTACAGTATGATACCGGTAACTGACCTCACTAGGAGAGGCAATTCCGATGTCCCAGAGTGAACCCCAATTATTCTTGTCCTTACCGTAGGCTGTCAGCCCTTCTCATAGCTCGCCCTTTATTCCTTCCATCAGCCCTTCGGACTGCTTACTCGTATCTTCACGGGTTACTTCTTGCCTCACGCCTCACCCGCCAGACAAGTTGTATTTCCGTGTTCGGGCATTCGCCGAGCGCGCTACTGCTACTTCAAGCCAAAGCTCGATAAAGAAGATAGAGAGAGAGCCACCCACTATCACCACCACCACCACCACCACCATGTGTAAGGCATCTCCTTCTGTTCCTCCAGTGGCGGCCCCAAGCTAACAAAACCCAGGCCGCTTCCTAGTCTACAAGGGTACAAATCCCATCCTTCTCTCAGACCTAATCCTCAACCCAACCCACTCAATCCTAACGCAATCCTACGACTGCCGCCTACGTCTCGACAGCCTCCCGCACAACGGCGACGGGTTCGGCGTAGGCTACTACACCACGCCCACCCTTTCCGCAGAGCCATGCATATTCACCTCGACCACCCCGGCCTGGAACTGCGTCAACCTCTCCCGCCTGGCGAAGAAGACCGCCTCGTCGCTCGTATTCGCTCACGTACGCGCCACCACCAGCGGCGCCCTCAGCGAGAGTAACTGCCACCCGTTCTCCTACGGAAGTCTCATGTTCATGCACAACGGGCACATCGCGAACTTCAAGAAGATCAAGCGCGCTATCGTCAGCGCTATCCGGGACGAGTACTTCCTGATGGTGGAGGGGTCCACGGATAGTGAGTGGGCTTTTGCCGTGTTTTTGGACACGCTGCATTCATTGGGACACTCGCCAAAGTCCCCGCCCGAAGCGCAGAACGAGAGAGTGGGCGGGGGAGGAGGAGGAGGAGGAGGCTTCGGACATGGCGTGCTTAGGCAGGCGTTGCTCGGGACCATTCGAAGGTTGAATGAATTCCTGGACGAAGCGGGAACCGGGGAGCCGAGCCTTTTGAACTTTGCAGCTACCGATGGGTATTCGGTTGTCTGCACACGGTACGTCTGTTCGAGGACCGATGAGGCAGCGAGCCTATACTTTTCGAGCGGAACGAGGTTTCACGAGTACAAAGAGGGAGGCTTTTACCGTATGGAGAGGCACGATCGTGGACAGGATTTGGTCATGGTCGCCAGCGAGCCTTTAACCTTTGAGCGAGGTTTGTCTCCCTTACCCAGCCCACCCCTTCAAAAATAATACTCCATTGACCAACAAAACACCAGGCGATTGGGTCACCGTGCCCACGAATAGCATCTTAACAATCAACAAACAGACAGTCTTGATACACCCCATCATTGGTACCTTCCCCCCCCCCCGCCCTGCCCCCAGGAACGACAGGCTAATTCCCCACCGCAGACAAATACTACCAACAAAACCCCGCCTACAGTCGCTCCGCAGCGTTCGCCGAGAGCAAAGGCATGGTGGCCGAGCCCATTGTCCCAAGTAAATCTGTCAAGAACGGTGCCAAGAAACTCGGCGTCAGGAGCGGGAAAGACGCGCATCCCCCCACCATTCCCGACAGACTCCCCTCGGGGTCTGACGAAGGTGAATGAGTTAATGGGTGGGCCGATTGATTGGGTTGGGTTGTGATTGGGGTACATGTGATTCACTGATTGGATTATAGCGGCGGCGTTTGATCTTGTTTGTGCCCGGTGGCCGCTACTGCGACGAGGTGATGTGCCATGTATTGATGGGAATCCATTATTATCACTATTATCATTGCTATCATATTCATTTTTACCC